GTCTTCGTCTCCAGAGCTGACCCTTTTCCGGAAATGAATGTGGATTTAACTATCTGCTCAGGCACCCCTTTGACGCTCAGCAGGCACAAAGACGAACTTACTGGCCAGCCTGTCCTCCATCCGCCCTTCCCTCTCCTCCACTTCTAAGCTTTCAGGTGGACGCCGTGTTTTTCTTTCGTGTGCAATGTCTGACAGCAAGCCCTAGTGATTCTATCAGCAAGTGGCTCCCAGGACTGTGGTTAGCTTGTCTCTCATCACCAAAGCTTTAGCTGAGCCTGTCTATAGCCAGAGACTTGTAGGTTTTCCGTTACCTTACACATTAGTGATTTATTTATTTATTTATTTTTACTTGCTAAGTGCCGTCGCTGGGATCAGTTCAGGTTCGGGAGCATCCCCGGCAGCTTGAGGTACTCAGTCATTCCTGTTGCTTCTCCAGTGCCGAAGAGGTTCGGTTCCCATCTCCATCTCAGTGACGTTTCGGGCGAGGTGCGGTTCGTCAAGGATCAAGGCTTTTCGAGTTTTAACAATAGGTGCACGTGTCCGTTCCTCTCCCGGCCATCGCCGATGCACAAAGAGGGTGGACTTACAGGGAGGACTAACAACCTTTTCTCTGGACTGGCTCCCTCATCCGTGAAGTCTCTCCTGAAAGCGTGTTAATCACATTGTGTCCTCCCGCGGCAACTCCTGCAGCAGCCCCTAGTCTGTTTCCACTCTTAGCTCACCCTCAAAGCCTCGCCACCCTCCTACAGATGGGGATAAAGGTCGGCTGCCTCCAGACCAATCAGACGTCTGCAGACGCAGGCAGGCAGTTTGACAGGTCATCAAACAACGATCTCGCAGACTCCATCTCCTTCCTAGCCGTGGCCCCTAACCTCGAGTCTCGCAGCACACACCTCCACGCCTGTGTTTTTTTTTTTGTTTTTTGTTTTTTGTTTTTTGTTTTTTTGTTTTTCCCGAGACAGGGTTTCTCTGTATTGCTTTGGAGGCTGTCCTGGAACTTGCTCTTGTAGACCAGGCTGGCCTCGAACTCACAGAGATCCGCCTGCCTCTACCTCCCGAGTGCTGGGATTAAAGGCGTGTGCCACCAACGCCCGGCCATGTTTTTTCTCGTTCCCTGGTGACTTTTGTTTTTTTCTTCTATGTCTGAAAACCCACAGATACCCTGAATTCCTGACCCCGACATGCCTTGGGGATAAAACCCAACTTAACGACATTGACCTGTGACCAATTTGTGTTGGTCTGGAACAACTCTGTCCGCCTGGCCAGAACCTGGATGACCCTCACAGCAGATGGGAACCACCCCCACCCCCAGCCTCAGCCTGGCTCCTTGTACACACGTTTTAACTAACATTTCCAACTCTCCAACTTTAGATTCTACGGCCTGACTCTCTTTTGCTGGTTTTCTGCATGGAGTTTTAGTTCTGAGTGTGTCTTCAGGGCTGTGGGGGAAATAACTGCGTAGGACAGAGTTTTGATTCTAAGCTCAGTCTGCTGTGTGTCAATCCAAAGGCCACTCAAAGGAGGGTGTGGAGTAGCAGAGCCACGGGCCACTGCTTCCTTAAGGAATCCCTGGGGCATCCTCCATTCATGCCTTCACTGTGATGACTCTTGGTGTTTACAGCCCCTGAATGCCCCCGGGGCACGGAGCTGGAGTGAAGAACACGGTTTGGCTTTTCTGAACCCCACTTCTGCTGGGACAAAGTGAACGTTTTTTCTTGGTGCTTCCCGCGCTGTTGCCCATCTGAGTGCACCGTGTTTCCCCCAGCCTGCCTGCACCTGGTGTTGTCTTCAGAGGACGCCACCAGAAGGCTGGAATACTACGCCCAGAAGCCCAGAGAGCTAGAAATGCCTGGGAGTGGCTTTCAGCCAATGGCTGACCATCAGTGAGCACCCCCAGGCATTGGACACTGAGGTATATATAGTTTGATATTTTATATTTTTTTTTTGTGGCATGTCACTGGAGGTTTCCTTGTCTCTCTTCCATGTCCTGCTTCCCTTCCTCGGATGTATCCTCTCAGAACCTTCCTAATAATTTCATTGTATTGGAAACCTTGGCTCAGACTGCTCTTTGGAGATACTGCTTAATCTCTGTTTCAAGCATGTATGTTCAATCACAGGAAGATTAAGTGAATTCTGAGTACATTTAGTTGGTTCAAACGACATAGCAGCCAGTCCTGAGTTTTTCCTCCTGTAAGTCTCTCGCCAAATCCCTACGGTAGTCGTGATGTTGGTGATGTTCTCTCATGTGTTGAGGGGTGTGCCTTGGTGACCCCAGCTTCCAGATGTGTCCTAATGGCTGGCCGTCCTGTTATCTATTTTCATGTTTGCTCTCATCATTATGAACGGTTTGCAATGCCTAGGTCCCCCTTTCCTCTTCCTCAGTTTCCTTCTCCTTCTTTTCCTCCCAGGTCCATCATCCTCGATTATTTCAGCACAAGCACTAAGAAAGGGATAATAACCGATGGTTCAAAGAAGTAACAATATAGCACGGCTGTGAACCAGCACCTAGTGTCGTAGGCTCACAGACAGTGGACCACTAAGGCAGAGGATATACCTGGTTTAAGATAGCAGGACAGAAACACGCGTCTCCAACTCCTTGTGAAATTTTCCCATATCACCCATCCTCATCATCCTGGACGTCATGGTTGCGTCGTTGTGACTGGTATTCAGGAACTTCATGACTTGTGGAGATCCAAACCATGAAACCAATCACAGGTCTCCTCTTGTATACCCCCTTTAGACAAGAGAGGAGTCATTCACAGCCTTCGTTGCTGCTGGAAAAGAAAACAAGCACCCTCCTCCCTTCACAGAGCAACTTGCCGTGCTGAAGACTGAACAGCAGGTCTTCCTAAGAGATGACCACACACCAGGTCGCACATCATTTTTATTTGTTGGCGAGTAATCTGCTGGGAGAGAGTGTTTCTGACACAGTGGAAGGGATAATTGAGTCCTTAAGGAAAGGTGTGTGCTTGTAGCTTGAATCTGCAAAAGCCGGAGGGTTTATCACACAACGGCAATGGAGAGATATATTCCATGAAGATCTGTGATATGGGGCAGTACTCCTAAATTATTGATAGCACAACGATCAAAGGTCTCAGCCGAGTACCTGTTCACTCTTAGGAGTTCAAGGCCTTAGAACAGCATTGTCTTGAAGCATTTAAAAGGGCGTCTTAGACATCTTAGAGGAGTGGATGGAAGCATGACCTCATGCCCCTGCATGTATGCAGACCCTGGACCTTGTGTGAGTACAGGGGCCATATGAAGGGCCAGCTCAGATGCTCTGCCTGGCAGGAGGGGAGAGCGGTGATTGGAATGGCAGCATGGCTTAGGTAATACACTGCGCTGTCTCTCAGACACATCGGGGCGGCAGGTCTTTTGTTACCTTGCTTATTTCCCTTGACAAGGGCAGTGTGGGTAGGAAACAGCAGGGCTGTTTAGGAGAACACTTACCATTTTTAGAACTTTTAGCTTGAATTGATGTCATGAAGAGTGTATTTGTCTTAACCTATTGACTCTTAGCACTTAAACACCGCTGGCACTGCATGCACAGAACCTGGAATCATTTGCAGTCTGTTAATGTGTCTCCTTGTAGCACTTGGAGTGCCATTGTCAGTTAAATACCCCTGTATCAGCTTATATTCCGTTTTGAGATCTTAAAGTTGACAATTGCTTTTTTTGCAAATAAATTTCATTAAAAAAATCTGGCCAAGTGCAGAGTGCTTCTCTCCCTCGCGCACCAAATGCTTCTCCACCACTCACATCAGTGTTGTTTTACTTAACGTGCCAAACAGTAACCCGGGGCAGTCCTCCCGTCATAAATATATGTCAGGGAGGAAGAGATGCCCATGTGAGGAGATACTTCAAAAGGTACCTAGTAGCTGTCGCTTTTAGGACAGCATCCAAATAAAACTTCAGGCTTAAAGACAGTCGGTCCCAGCCGACTTACGTGGTGTTTCTGCAGTGTCACTGTCCTCAGCACGGCCTTTTGCCTTGTCTCACAGCAGCGTGGGCCTCCCGTGCGACAAGAAGAGTCATGCCACCTCCTCCTTTGATTGGCTGACGACTCCTACCTGTTGGAGCCTGTGCAGGAGGAAGCTGGGAGCACCATGCAGAGTGAGATCCGGCCCATTGCAGTTCAGCACCCCACTCAGGATAGCATCAGTCAAAGCACTTCAGCGGTCTTTGACAAAGTGTTGCTTGATCTCACATCGAAGGAAAGTTTATCGTCTCATTACTGTGTCCCTGGCTTGCTTTTATTTTATTTTTTAAAACCACGGAGTAATTGCACAAGTTTGGTTCACATGCCGAAGGCGGAGAGTGCTACCGGTCCGAAGGCCGGTGGACTTTCCGTGCCTGATAGCAGACTAGAGCTACATGTGCACACACTTGTGTGTGCATGTGCGTTCACTTATGCACAAGTGAGTGTGTGCATTTGTACGTGTGTATACATGCGGCGGTCAGAGGACGGCCCCTGGGGTTGGTCCTCAGGGGCCTCCACTTCCCATCTTGCCATCTCAGGATTACAAGTGTTCACCATTACACCCAAGGTTGAGTGTGAGCCGTGGGGATCAGAACTGAGGTCCTCACAGTTGGGAGGCAAGTGCTTTTTACCAGATGAGCCACAACCCAGCCTGAAGTTTAGCTTTTGTTATTGAGAAATGGCCTCAGGGAGTCCTGATTCATGGATAATCTTAATTCAATCAGCTAATTTAGAAAAGAGCCTACTGTGTGATTTGAACTACTCATGGCATTTAGGAGGTAACAGTAAGCAAAGCAGACTAAGTTCAAGCTTACACAGTTCATGCTCTGATGGGGCTGGGGACCAGGTTCAAACTCAAATACAGTCACGGTACTGGTGGAGTAGGGAACCAAGTTCAAACTGTCATATAGTCAGTCATGTGCTGATGCGTTTGGGGACTAAGCACAAACCTTTGTGAGCAAACAAAGGGACTACTAAGTTAAGGTTTCAAACAGAGGCTTTGAGTGTGGTTGGAGTTGACATTGGTAGCCAGCCTGACAGATCTGGAATCACTTAGGGGTCATGTCTCTGGGTACATCTGCGGTGGAGATTCTAGATTGGGTTAAAGTAAGCTGAGCACCAGCATCCATCTCTCCTGCTTCCTGACGACAGATGTGAGATACCCACGGCCTCACACTCTGCCTCCAGGTCTTCCCTGCCATGGTGGATGCTGCCCTCAAACTGTGAGCCGGAACAAACTCTTCCCCCTTAAGTTGCTTCTGTCAGATTTTGTCATAGCGACGAGAGTCATTGCGACACCCACTGACCGGGGTGGTTGAGCATCTCGTGGCAGCCACTGCGTGCACGAGCTCTGCTTCCCACCGAGCCTCCGCCAACACTAGAGATGCAGCAGTTGTGATGGGAGCCTTTGCTAAGAGATTGTGGGAGAACAGCTGCATGGATATGAGTGCAGTCTTTAAACACCCTCACTCCCCTCTTTCCTCATGGCAAGTCTTTAGCACTCACAGTACAGCTGTCCTCAGCTGTTAAGATCGTCACCGTCTCTGCTTCACACAGGCTCCTTAGATTTTATTAGGGCAAATCAGCTCCATTATAAAAACCATTTCTGTGGTTTGATTTTTCCCATCTCCTGTCAATGCTACTATAAAAGCTATTTTCACAAAGCTCATCACTTAAATCCTCACTTCTGAAGCTCATTCACCCACTGTATCCTTAGGTGGCTCATCAAAAGATGTCATGAATTGACCTGTAAAATGATTAGTGGTTCATCAGACTGTTGCCTCACATTTAGAAATCAAAGCCATTTAGAGTCAATTAGTTATGATGCATATAAATACTGAAGTAATCATACATTATGCAGAACCTTCCTCAACCTCAGGAAAAAAATTTAATTGTATGGGCCTTTTACTTTCAAGTTTATTTAAATAAGAAACAATAACAACAAAAAAGCATATTTCAGAAGGTAATTTATTGCACGTGGCTGTAACAGTCAACCCCACAGATAGACAGTCGAGGAAGCTCTTGGGGCTTACATAGATTCAGGAAAGACAATATTTTGTATTTCGTGCTAAAGATGGCCAAGGGTCGAGGAACATGTTGAATACTAAGAAGGGAGTGTGGTCCAGGGATCACAGGGTGAGAAGAGTCCAGGAGAGCAAGGCCTCCTACCTTGTCTCTAAAGAAAAGCATTGGATTCCAAAGCCAAGACGGGAAGAAAACACGGAGGGCAGGTCAACCTTAAACAGTTCTCTAGGTTTATGGACTTGAGATATTTTAAAATGGAAATTTTCCTAGTGAATTGATCTCATAGGATGTCCTTTGGTTTAATTTGTGTGTGTGTGTGTACTATCTACATGTGTACTTGTTCCTGTGTGCACATGTATGTGGGCACATGTACACGTGTGTGTGTGTGTGTGTGTGTGTGTGTGTGAGAGTGAGTGAGAGAGAGAGAGAAACAGACAGAGAAAGAGAGAGAGAGACAGAGAGAGAGACAGAGAGAAAGAGAGACAGGGAGAGAGAGAGAGGTGGGTGTCAGTTGTCTTCTTTGTTTCTGTTTTCTTAATCTTTTTCAAACTCAGGTTTCTCACTGAACCTGGAGCTCACCAATTCCACAAGATGGAACTCGAATCCTCATGCCTGCTTGACACTTCACTGACTGCACCATCTCCCCAGCCCCAGGAATTCCTTTAAAATGTGGAGAATCTTACCAATATGCACTCCTGTTCTTACAGCTATAGCCCAAAGATAACAGTATTAGAACCATAAGGAGAAAGACCCCCCCCTTCTGTCCTCCTGTCATCGAAATCACTTGGGGAGAACCTAACCAATGCTGTAGATGAGTGAAGAGGGAGGTGATGTCGCAACGATAAACGGCACACTTACTGAAAGTAAAAGTAAGTATTTATTGTAGAAATTACTCACAAGAGACAAACAAGTAACCTAGATGAGCCGAGTAGTTTTCCGCCGCCGAACTGGAAGCCGGAATGCCGGGAAACGCTGTTCAGTCTTTTATACCTTCCTCCATACCGACCCTAGCCATGCCCAAAAGTGGGCCTGGCTAGTGACGTAGTTCACCGCCTACGACCGTATACGTCTTTAGTCATGCCTAAAGTGGGTGTGGTTAGCAGTGCGGTAAACCACCCTTTTATTACCTCATCTGTATGCGCCTCTAATAAGTCACATGGCTAATGGCAGAACACTGTTTCCGCCTACAGGGAGGGTTCTGTAAGCTTCGCAGCCTGGCACTTAAAAATCAAGGGATGGGCAACCACGTCATAAAAGAGGGAAGCACGGGAACTTCCGTGGAGCCACAATCTATGATCAGAAATTTCGATAGGAGGAGACATGGTGAAAACTCAGAGAGTCAAGAGCGGTGCTGGTGAGGCTTCTGTGGTGCTGGAGCAGCAACGTGGGGTGAGCAAGGAAAGCAGGGTGAGGTCCAGGGAGAGGCAGAAGGAAGTGGCATGTAAGCCCAGGAATGATTGTGAGGGCTCACACGTCCGGACGTGGTGCTGCAGAAAGGCTGTCTCCAATGAGGTCCAAGCCCAGGAATGATTGTGAGGGGTCACACGTCCGGAAGTGGTGCTGCAGAGCGGCTGTCTCCGATGACGTCCATATCCTGAATGTTCCCTGTGGTTTCCCTTGTTCTTCCAGAACCCAAGGGGATGACGCTGTCACTGTGGAGAAGGCCAAGGGGCCAGAAAGCGAGGGAGGCAGACGTAAACTACACCATTTCTGGTTGTATCTTCTTCCAGGAAGTAAATGATGACTTCACTTTCATTCTGTTGACCAAAGGACGTCACAGGGCTGCGCTGAGGGCAGCAAGTGCAGCCCCTGATGCCTGGGGACAGTAATTTTCACAGGCGTGTTTGAGAACCCATTCACTGTCTAGCGTCAATTGGTTATTCCTGAAAACTTACATACAAGTCATATTACGAGGACTGGGCAGGTTATATTTATGAATAAACACGTATACGCCAATACAGTTACACATGCCGTAACAACTGGTGAAAGAAGAGACTATGGACTTGAAGGAGAGTTTGGAGGGAGGAAAAGGAAGGGAGAAATGTTGCAATTATGTTATAGTCTCAATTATTGAAAATTAAAAAAATAGTACCAGGTTAACGGTGTGGATGACTGAAGAAGGATTTATCTCAGAACCTGGATGCGTTTGGAATAGGATTTTAAAAGAAACACCGTGATGCCAAGTACCTCACATAAACGTGTGGTTTCCAGGGGCAGCCATGACTGCTTAGAATGTTTCCCGGGATGTATGAAACAGCAGAAGGGAAGTAGCCACTCTCGGCAGCTTCTGATGCAGTGTTTCTGCCCTCACATTATTGCTATTCTGCACAGGAAGTGTGCTGACTAATTCTGCAGTGTGGCTTCCTACATACCCAGGGACATGCACTCTAAAGGATGAGGCTGTATGAGCAAATTGAAAGGCTGCCTGGGGCCTTGCTTGGATCTGGATGTTCAGAGAAGAAGGTATGATGGTTCTAATGAGAAGGGTCACCACAAGCTAAAATGCTTAGTCATCAAGGATGCGGAACTCTTTGGGAGGGATTAGGAGGTGTGGCCTTGCTGGAGGAGGTGTGTTGCTGGGAGTGGGCTTTGAGGTTTTAAGAGCTTATTCCAGGCCCACTCTCTTGCCTGAAGATCAGGCTCCATACCTGCCTGCCTTTCACCACAGGTTTTGCCATGATGATAATGGACTAAACTTGTGAACCTGTAAAGAGACTCCAGTTAGATGCTTTCTTTTATTAAGAGTTGCCTTGGTCAACTTATTGAGAGGACAGTGACTAAGACATAGGTTTTATTGTGCATCCAGGAACAACTGGTCAGTTCCCAAGAATGGTTCTCAACATCATCGGTGCACATCACAGCTGTTTGAATTTGAAAAAAGCATATAGGCACTTAGGCTGTACACCAATATATTCTAGTGCACCCTATCAGAATTGCAGTGGGTGTGGCATGTGCTCAGAGGTTGGGAGGTTGGTGGGGCATGTTGTAATAGGCTTACAGTTTGACAGACACTGGTCTGCAGCATGGCTTAAGGAAGACAGAAAGACCAGATCACCCCAAGGGGACCTGTGTTCAAATCTTCTACTCCAATTCCAAGGAAGTAGGTATTGGCATATCGGCAGTAGAGAGTTCACCTCAGTATGAGTTAATAGAGAAAGAACTTAGAGGTGCTTGGAGTTTCAACGCACGCTCTGGGTAAAAGCTTAAAATCAAAGAACTGTGTTTGGCATTACTATCTTGATGACAAAGATACGATTCATGTTTCTTTGTGCGATAAGTTATTCTGGTTAGTCCAGAGAACAGTGAGTGAGTGGTTAGGTGAGTGAGACAAAAAGTGAATTTGTTCTCTTTGAGTATAGGCTCCAAAATTGGTACATTTTAGGCAACATTTTGAAGGACAATGGAGACTTTTATATGTAAGCGTTGGTGAGGAAATGTTAAAGGAAGCTGTGTAGAAACAGGAAGTGATGCTGTACAGTGTCGGTTTTTAAACGGCTTGCTTTTCTGAGGACCTGTGTAAACCCCAGTGTTGCTTCTAGCCTGGTGTAGATTGCAGCTCACCTCTGAAGCAATCTTCTCTTCCACTGCCATGAGCCACAGAGAATTCCTGACCCTGCAAAAATGCTGTGAGTTTACTTTAAAGGATGAAATAAGTCAGGGGTGTGAGCAGGATTCCCCTGGGGCTGAGAGGGCATATGCCAGTGCCTCAGGTGACCGAGAGAGCACCAGGTGCTTGCACGTGAAAGGGCAAAGCAGCATGGAATGATCTAGAATGCTCAGCTTTGGATTTGCCAGGGGCTTTATATGCGGCATCCCACTTAATCTTTGTAATTACCCTACTGGGCCAGTGTTATTAACCCCATTCTTCCAAAAAAAAATCAAAGCAGAGAGATGAAATAAGTGTCACTGTCCTGGTAGCTCTAATTGTCAGCTTGACACAGCCTGGGGCCATGTGGGAGGAAAACTTCAGTTGAGGAATTGCCTAGGTCAGATTGGCCTGTGGGCACGTCTGTGTGTGTGTGGGGGTGGGGGGCTATCTTGATTATAAAAGAATGCAAGAGGGCCAAAGCCATAGTGGACATGTGGTCTTGATTATAAAAGGAACAGGAGGGCAGAGCCCATAGTGGACAGCACCAGGCATGTGGTCTTGGCTACATGAGAAAGTTAGCAAAGCATGAACCTAGCCAGCAAGAAGTGTCCTTCCTGGCTCTTGCCTTCACGTTCCTGACTGTAGTTCTTGTCTTGACTTTCTTCAATGGCAGACTGTCACACGTAGCCTGGATGTGTAAGCCAAATAAACTCTTTCTCCCACGGGTCTCTTTTGGTCAGAGAGTTTTTCATCACAGCAACAGGAGACCTTGAACCCTGGCCTGAAAGTCTCAGAAGCCATGCGTCTGCTGCCGTAACACATTGCTTGGGAGAGAAAAAGAGTGAGCACACAGAATTTGACACCATGGTGCTGTGGTCACTAGGATTTGCCCGACACTGTATGTATGCTTTTATTGGATTGCATGAGCAGCATCAATGTCAGTTAGGGCACTTCCAGATTCAGAATTATGAAGGGCCTCTGGAAGAGAATGCACATTTTTTTTTACTACTCCAGTAAGAAAATACTGTAAATTCTCAGGACAGTTTTTTTTTTTAATTTTTTATCTCCAGGCTAAAATGGATGTGCACAAGGGTGAGTGAACTCTGGAGTGGTTACACAGGGAGAGTGTGAGGACAACCAGGGAACATAGGTAGGAGGTCAATCTGACAGTTAAAGAAGGTGGCAGAAAATATCCCTGCGTGGTTGGTGAGTGGGCATGGCTACAGGCACACCAGCAGCCAGAATGTCCCTTTCCCCAGGTTTCCATGAGGTTAGAGTCTTCTCACTAGACTTCTCTTGAAGATACTTCAGAATCTTTCATCCTCAGATGTAATATATCACAGCCATCATCACTCAAGTCCAGCAGAGACACCCTCACAGTTTAAGTTGCCCTCTGCATTAATCAGCTTTCTGACACCTGACATACTTAACTTTCAAGGGGGAAAGGCATTTCATGGCTTTAGACATTTTTGTTCACAGTCACTCACCCCCCATCAGTTTGGGCTTATGGTGCTACAGTCGTCTTCATGGGTGTGTCAATGGGAGGAGGTTTATCTACTTCATGGTTTCCAGGAAGCAAGAGAGAATGGGGGAAGATGTAGGCTCCCAAGTATCCTCTTCAAGGGCATGTCCTAAGCACAGGACCTAAATATATACCTCAAACACAGGTCAGCGACTACGCCTACCTCCTATGGGTTCCACCACCTCTCGTTGGCATCATGAGCTGGTACCCGAGCCTTCAATGTGTGGGTCCATCACGAACGGTCCAGATCTAACCTGTATCATCTCCCTTAAAACTTTTAGCTATCCTTCCCCTGACCTGGAGACCATGGGTGGCAGTGTCATTTAGGTAGGGTGCGACATGACTGGATGGGTCACAGTACCACTTTTTTTACCTTTGAGGTAGTCTTAGATACTCCTCTCTGACCCATTCACTTGATAACTAGATGCTCTGAGGAGCTCTGGAAGCTATGCCAGTGGGACCATCTTAGAGTTGTGCACCGTATACAAGACCAGAACGGAGGTATGGAAAGAATGCTCCCACTGGCCAATATACTGGTTTTCTTTGTTGTTGTTGTTCTATAGGATCACATGGCTCTTGTAAGTGCAATGGGATAAGTCTAAGCTATGGCTGCAGACAGACTTGGGTCCAACTCAACTCACAGTGGTGCTGCATGTCCAAGTTTGCGCATCAGATCTTACGTGACTGACTGTGGTTCAATGTCTCTGGCCTTCAGCACTAGAAGGCGATGGGGATGGGGTAGGCATCTCTAACACTGTGTACACAGTACCCTCCCCTGACAACCAGGGCACTCACCCTAATGTATATGGGTGTTCTGCGTTGGGTAACAGGCAGTCTTCCCAAGGCCACCCACCCTTGCCTTTTCTGAGGGTTCTGTAATCAATGTCTGGTTCTGGTCAGTGACATCACTGTGTTCTCCCTAGATAATCTTAGACTGTGCTTTCTCAGTGATGGGCCGCTCCTTTTGATGAATGCGGTCATTCTTTTCACCTTGCCCGTAGGCTCCTCAAGCGTTCTCCCTGTTGGTGGTATGCTGAAAGCAAAAGTGGCCAAGCATCCAAAGAGATCACACTGGAAATACAGAAAATTGCTGTAAGTTCAACAGGAGGCATGGTTGAAGAATTGTTTCCCTCCATTTATATTATAAAAAATTTGAACAATGAATTTAATTATCAGACAATGAACTATGATACATGCCTCTCTCAGAATTCTGGGCTGAAGCCTCATCTGTGACCATCATCACTGAAACATGCTTTGAGTGAGTCACCGGAAGCCAATATTCACAGGTGGCGCGATGAACGATGGCATTATTACATGACTAATGATGTGACCAACATTGAATAAATGGTACTGGGGAGCTGTAGAGGCAAGAAGATCTATCATGTTTCACCTCAAAAGGCACCAAAGTCCCCAGCACCGTGAGAAATAACAGCATGGTACATTTTTTTCTCCTACCTGGGAGATGTGAAATTAACTTGCATCAGAGCAATCGAAATAAGAAATACAGGAAGTGAATTTTTGGACGTGACTAAGAAGACCCTATCCTGGACACTGTAAAGAATCTTCTTATCCAGATCCCCTTGAATGTGGGTGTCAGAGAGGAGGCCGGCAATCTATGGGGCCTTGGGTAGTAGATCAGTACTTATCCCTGGCATACAAATGGACTTTGGGTGCCCATCCCACAATGAGAGATGCTCTTTCAGCCTGGACTCTTGGGAGAGTGCCTAGGCCCTGCCCTAAACAAAATTACAGACTCTTGATATTCCCATGGAGGGCCTCACCCTCCTTGGGGAATGGAGTGGGGATTGGGTGGGGGGCTGGAGAGGCCAAGTGGAGGAGTAGGGGAGGAGGGGAGTGAGAGGGAGCTAGGATTGACATGTGAAGCAAGCTTGTTTCTAAAAAAAAAAATCTTCCCATAGAGAGGGTCCCACCCCTCGCCACAGGTGAGGATGAATCTACCTT